GAATATTCAAAGGCTGGGTGTAAAAACAAAGTTGAACTGGAAAATTTAGAAAGATTTACAGGATTAACAAGATGAACAGTTACATCCATACAATTTTGGACAGAGACAACACAGTTCCTTCATTTCAGGGGAACAAAAGTAATTGGACAAATTAAATAACTGTAAATAAAATGTTTATTTCTAATACTTGGTTGAAAACCCTTTGCTGGCAATGACAGCCTGAAGTCTTGAACTCATGGACATCACCACATGTTGGGTTTCCTACTTTTAAATGCTCTGCCAGGCCTTCACTGCAGCGGCTTTCAGTTGCTGTTTGTTTGTTGGCCTTTCTGTCCAAAGTTTAGTCTTCAACAAGTGAAACGCATGCTCAATTAGATTAAGATCAGGTGACTACCTTGGCCATTGAAGAATATTCTACTTCTTTGCTTTAATAAACTCCTGGGTTGCTTTGACTGTATATTTTGGGTCATTGTCAATTATGTCTATTATGAAATGCCTCCCCATCAATTTGACTGCATTTGCCTGGATTTGAGCAGACAGTATGACTCTGAACACCTCAGAATTCATTCGGCTGCTTCTGTCCTGTGTCACGTCATCAATAAACACTAGTGTCCCAGTGCCACTGGCAGCCATGCACAACCAGGCCATCGCACTGCCTCCGCCATGTTTTACAGATGATGCTTTGGAATGTGAGCTGTTCCACGCCTTCTCCATACTTTTTTCTTACCATCATACTGGTAGAGGTTGATCTTGGTTTCATCTGTTCAAAGAATGTTTTTCCTGAACAGTGCTGGCTTTTTTTAAGATGTGTTTTAGCAAAGTTCAACCTAGTCTTTCTATTCTTGAGGCTTATGAGTGGCTTGCACATTACAGTGAACCCTCTGTATTTACTTTCATTTAGTCTTCTCTTTATGGTAGACTTGGATATCACTACGCCTACCTCCTGCAGAATTATTCTGCGATCATCCATTACTGTTGTCTTCTTTCCAGGTCTTTTTTGCGTTGCTGAGTGCTCAGTGCGTTTTTTCTTTCTCAGGATGTACCAAACTGTAGATTTTGCCACTCCTGATATTGTAGCAATTTCTCAGATCGTTTTTTGTTTTGTTTTGTTTTTGCAGCTTAAGGACAGCTTTCAGCTCCTTTGACTGCATCTTCCAGATAAAAGCACCGCACCTCAAATCAAATCATCATACACACAACTGCCCATGAAATAGCCTTTAAGTCAATTGTCCAATTACTTTTGGACCCTTTAAAAACGTGTTAAGGAGCTGAAACTCCTAATCCCTTCATCCAATTTGAATGTAGGTAACCCCAAATGAAAGCTGAGAGTCTAAAATCATGTCCATATCCAATATATAACTATAATTGGAATATGTTTCAATAAACAAGTTTAAAAAAAAAAAACTTGTGTCAGAGTCCAAATATATATGGAGCTAACTGTAGTTATGAACCTTGGAATACAGTTGGCATGGATTTTAGCAATTTTGTAAATGCAAATAGTTCCAAGCAGTAGCCAAAGCTTCGTCAGTGGACTGTAGTCAGATGCTAAAATCAAATCCTCTCTCAACAACTAGGGAACATGAGCTAAGGAACAAAGAGTGTCAGAGGGCTGTTGCCAAGTTTAAAAAAATTCCAATGCTCAATGGTGCGAGGGGCTTCAGTGTTGAAAGTGTATGTGGAGCTGCACCCCATCCTCTTGGGCTGATACAACAGATAGCAAAGGGGTGAAATATTGGTAGAGAAAACCAAGGTGGAGTAAAAGATGTTTTGTTTTGTTTTTTGAGCCTTCTAAATGAAAGCACAATCAAAGCTTGTGCAACTAAAAAGCAAATAAAAGTCCATGTTGTAACAGTGGCTTCTTAGGCTGATTGAAATGTCTTAATGCAGGCAGACGCTGTGCCATCATTTGTTCTATCTTCAAATTTGTAAAGTTGGCTACAATCTCAGACAACAGACATTTCAGACAGACAGATCTAGATCAAGGTGGGTGTGGGGTCAAACCCCACTAGGTTTGATCATATAAACTTGGCTTAATTTGAATTCAGTGGTGACCTGAAATAATTTATGTTTGTTAATATTTTGAATTCCAGGGTGATTACCACAGCTCTGGGTGGTAGAGGTGGACTACCAAACACTTCCTTTACATAAAGCTGAGACAAAAAAAAAAACCTTTTACCACTGTGTCAAACACTCTTTTTCACTATCACATGGCATGGAGCATCAATAAGAGCATTGATATAAAATCCTAACAATACCCATCCCTATTAAAGCAAAAAAAGGGTATCCATATAAGCTGAGCAACAGTGCATGACAGCTTGTTAATAATTGTTAATTGTTAATACACAAAACGCTTAGAGCTGAAACCCATAGAAACACATCTTGTCGAGAAACAGAATAGTAGCGTATATCCATATCGTTAGCTTCATAGCATAAGTGCCTAAGTCATTTTTTTGTGTTTTGTGTTTCAGACGGACAGGATGATGCAGCAGTGGTAGGGGAGTAAAGTTAGGCAAAAATCTCAATTTGACCAAAAAATGACTTAGGCACTTATGCTATGAAGCTAACGATATGACATATTGTATCTTTTGATTATTCTGTACATCCTTGGATAAATTAGCTTTCCCTTTTAGATATGCTTTCCATACTAATTTGGCTTAATAGGCTTCTGATTAACAAAAACAAGCCTTTGTGTGTCTATGTGTGAGTGTGTATTTGCATGTGGTCGCAACTATTGTATACTGCAGTGAGCATTTGTTTATATGAGTACAAAAAATATAATCTGTATGCTTGTTATCTATTTCCAAAAGTACACACTGAAGGTGTCTGAGAAGTGCAGGCTTGTGTCTGAGTATCTAATCTCAGGTCTTGGACAACTTTTAGACAATATGTTAAATAATAGTGTTACTCTGTTGTACCTATGCACATTCACTGTCTGCTTCTATTTATATTGTGACTTAATAAACAATTGTTCTACATGACTTTTAATTGGTATTTACAACTACTCAGATTAATAGACATTATCTATAGAATCTTTCCTCTGCTGTGCAAACAGCATTGGCTTACTGTAATTAAACTGTGACATTGACCTGCTGTCTTGTCTTTCTGTCTTTGACTGAAGACTGCTGTTAGCACTGTTTAATTGACTGCTGTTGAGGAGTGTTTTCTGTCTTTAAAAGAGTGTGGTAGGGCCATGAAATGTGTTTTGTACATCTATGAGTAGCCTTCAGTAATCTGTTTTTTTAAACACTTATTTAACCTGAAAATTAAGCTCTTGATATATAGAAAATCATCTCTGAAGAGTGAAGATGCAGTGCTCTTTAAAAGTCTTGAGCCAACTGTTTCTTTATATTTTTCTTGCAAGAACCCAAACTTTGTTGTAAATTTTAATGTGGTCTTGAGCAATAGTTCTGCAGGCTTTCTGAACACCTTTCAAAGCTTTTCTTTATAGATTGACTGCTTTGGTCAGGTCCAGTCCCTGTGCCTGAGCAAACTGGACAAGTGGCTTAACGGTATCTCTAGCTGATGAACAGTATCTGAAAGTCATGCCTGGAGAAAATAGGTAAAAATCCAGCAAAGACCTGACACAGGACCTGATCCCTCAGTAGATTCATCAGTTGTTGACTAAAGCCTGATCAGAAATAGTCTCAATGGAAGGGTGGCTCTCAAGAAGCCATTCTTAAGGAGGGGAAACAAGGAGAAAAGGCTTTAGTATGTCAAATTACACAAGAACTGGACTGGACCAGTGGCACCAGGTCTTATGGAGTAATGAATGCAAATTTGAAATTTTAGCTTCAAATCCTTCAAGTCCTCATCAGAATATGTACAGAGGAGGTCAGGAGAGAGGTACAACAGTGAGTGTCTACAGCCATCTGTAAAACACAGCAGAGGCTCTGTGATGGGTTGGTGCTGTATTTAGACTGGTGGAGTTGTGGATCTTGACAAAATCGGTGGAATTATGAACACAGAAAAGGATCAGATTTTGATCAACCATCTCAACTGCTACATTTTTCAGTTTGACAATGATCACAAACACACTAACAATGTACTAAAGCATATCTGATAGACAAACACACAATGGAGCACCACCAGTTAGGAACTACCCAGAGCGTGGAGTTCTGATGCCACGGTTTCAACATTATTGAAGCAGTCTGGGATGTACTTGACATAGAACAAAACAAACGACAGCCAAGACTCAAAAATAAATAAATAAATAAATGGTGATTTGTTGTGATTTGGCACTATACAAATGAAATTGAATGAATTTAAAGCCCTTCTCCACACATACAAAACCTCGATTAATCCGGCTCTGTTAAAGATTTCATAGTACCAGGCACTCTCTGTAATTTTTTATTATAGATTAGACTTTAAAGGATAAACAAAAACTTTCTTGTTCACTCAATACTTTTCATTCTATGTGTGTTTATACATCATAACTGATTTAATCATTAATTGTTAAACTTTGTTTCGCTCTCCTATAGGTAGCCTTTGTCTTTTTTCCCCTCACCCAAAACCGGTCATGCTGGATTGCTCTCTCTGTTTCTGTTTCTCCAAATTTGAGCTAAGTTTTACTTTCCTCATTGTCATTCATTGGTGAGGGATCAGCGTCAGTGAAACAGGTTGGCTGCTAGCTACCACAGTTAGAATGGACACAGAAGCATGGCAACAAAGAATGGTCAGCTGTTTGTTAGCAAGTTAAGTTTTGACTTGTTCATGTTAAACACAAGTAAATTAGTCTTGTACTGTGTACTGTTTGTGTGTGTTCTTGTGTATACTAAACTGGTATGATGTTCTGAAGAAGAGAAATGACAAAAAAGATGAGAGATAGTTATGAAGATATAATAATGATCAGCTATCTAAGAAACAAAAAAGACAAAAATGAGTAAAGCTGAAGAAGAATAGGATCAAAACATTTATTACTGAAAGCATAAGTGGAAGACAAAGAAAAAAAGAGAGTTGGACACAGAGAAAATAGATTTGATACATATGCAAACAACACTCACTTGAATGGGAATCATTTTATGGAACTTCAGTGCCCCCTTATGGTGAAATCTGGCAAAACAGCCAACGCAGTAGTTTTCAGTGCATTCAGCACACATCTGCAACACATAGACCAAGTGCCATCAGTCTGTCTGCATATAAAAACACCCACCTTTAGTGTGTTTCTATGTCTTTCAGTTTAAAAAACAATGGTCACTGCCTGTGCATGTCTGTGTACTGTATGCATATAAATTAATTCATGCAAGTGGTTGCACTGGTAGGTAAAGTGCTCTTTTGCTAAAGATGTAACCTCAACCTTTCCTTATAAACTGGCGTGGTGCTGCAAGATGCATGTGTGTGCGTTTGTGTGTGTGCTAGCTGTGTGCACATTGGTGCATTTGTGCTTGGCACATGTGTGTTGTGAGTGTGGTTGAGTGAATGCCTCTTAAGGGAGGTCATTATAATTTCTATCTGTAAGAATCAGGTCTTGTTAGTGGGAAAAAGTCATTGCATCAGCAGGTTTGGGAAACAGGCTTTGGACAGAGCACACAAGCAAGGGCAAGTGCAATGGAGACACGGAGGCTAGGTTGGAGAAAAAGCAAACAGTCAAGCAACAACTAGCCTGTGTTTGGTTTCCTTCACTATGCATGCAAGTTTCTTTTTCAATAGATCAAGGTTTTATTACCAACACCATCACTTAAAATAGTGTAGTTTAGTGCACTCTTTCAAGAAACACTACCAATTCTTTTTATCCTTGGAGGAACTTAACTATTTCATTTATTTATGTTGTGACAGTGTGATGCAGTTCCCAATCTAATGACTTGGAAGCTTTCTGTTTCTTGCTCACTTGCATATTTGCTATGTCTACACCTGTTTATTCATAGATGAATAATAGATAATTATAATAAATAAAGCAGTACAACAAACACAATGATTCACAGTTCCATGCTGATTTCTGGATGAATAACCTTACAGTGTAAATTTATACCAGCTGATTCAAACATTAATTCAGTTAAAAAAAATTTATTTAGATACATATTATGTATTTCTGTAATTAATGTCTTTATGGGTGATGCTGTGTGTTCATTCTTTTTTTTTTTCTTTTTTTATCCATACATGGAAGTATGTGTGTGAGTGTGTGTACACGCAAACCTGCAGCTGCGACATTGCCCTTTAATGGTCCCATAAAGCAGGGCCTCATTTCCCCTCTCAGGCCTGAGGATAAATTACAACCACTCCTCTGGGACTAGGCATCCCTATCAGACTGCAAGCGGCATATCACTGCACTCTTCCTACTACACAGGGAGAAATGAGGTAGCTTTTTTTTTTTTTCTTCTTTGCCTGGATGACTCTGGAATAAAGCATGAGGCTAGGTGTGCAGTGTGTGTTGCACATGAGATTTCAGCATTTTTATTACAATGAGTCATGTTTTTTTTTAAAAAAAAAAAAAAGAAAGAAAGAAAAAAGGACAGATGTGTGATTGTGCGTTTATGAGTGCATATGTGAGTGTGTGAGCATTTGTGTGCATAAGTGCAGTTCCAGACAGAATGGCACAGACAGTTGTAACGCTTCCCATTATTGCCATCATTATAGGGTACGAGGGCTATCCAAAATGTGTGTGCGCATGAGGGTATTGTGTGTATTTGTGGATGCATTTAGCCTATGTGCTTGCCCAGACTACCATAAGCACAACCATTAAGCCCATAACTATGGGACACTGGGGGCATCCGGCCCTTCATTGGACAGTTCAGAGCCATCATCATCATCAAACGCACTATCAAGCAAATCACATCACATTATATTTTAACATAGTGTGTGTGCTGCACTTAAATAAGTTATTCCACAACAAAAAGGGGGGAAAATTGTAGATGTCAGCTCAATCAGTTCAACCCCTGCCTCTCCTTCAATTCCTCTTTAAGTCTCCCTCGCTCTTACCATCATTGTTCTTGTTCTCGTTCTCATAGAAGCATCACTTATTCAATACTAAAGTCTGCTGGCTTCATAGTGAAACACAGAATAGGATTTACACAGGGAGCTGAGGATTTAGGAGGTGGGAGCAACTGGTCATCAAACATGCATTACTCAGCTCAGTCCATTACACACACACACACACACACACACACACACACACACACACACA